GTCCGTCAGTACGAATTGTCCAGGAGGAGTCATTATGGACTTAGTGAGGACTGCCCTTGTAGTCTTTTGTCCATAAGAAAGTATCTGTCATTTTGAAATCCGCTAGTTATTAATGGAGAACAGAGGTACTCTCTTGTTCTCTGTCCGACATCTATCCCAAACAGTTTACGTCAAATAAGTGACACGGGCTGGCATTGGGTGAGTAGATGAACAGGAGTTTCATGCTCCATGTGGCAGAATCTACATTCTCTATTTTCTCTCTGCCCAATATTTGACATGCGCTTATTTAAGCCACAATGCCCTGTTAAGGCTCTAGTGAGCATTCTTATGCCATTCCTGTCCAATGTCAGAGCTTCTCTAATAGAAATATTTGTAAATTACGTAATTGTACAGTCCGTCTGTACAAATTGTAGAACATCCAGGAGGAGTTATAGACTTAGTAAGGACTGCCCTTGTCGTCTTTTGTCCATAAGAAAAGTCTCTCTAATTTTGAATACCTGTCTTTGTAGCCAATTAGTCTGCTGGTCACCCACGGAGAACTGGACAATAATTATAAATTAACGTGTATTTTGATGTAAACCAAGTGTAGATTATTAAATTAAGGGACTCCGAATAACAAATACCAAGAGCCAGACACATAAACTGTATAAAACGGCATTGAAACATGTGACTGTATGAGGTCCCATATAGGTTGACTTTACGACAGGGGCTTAGAGAGAAATACCAACAACAGCAATGCTCTTACATGCAAAAAAGACAAGAGATAAACAATACGCAGATTACAATCTTATTTGCTTTTATACATTTCCATTTTCTCTGACTCAACTTTTCATTGAAATTAATCATACATTTAAATAAAAATACTTCATGGAAACTGTTAATGCTTTTTTTAATGTTTCCATTTCATTTCTTTATTTACATTTTTCAATAAGAATATGAGAGTACTTTGATAAAGCAAGTACATTAAAGACATTTTAATGTCTTATTGTTTTTAAAATAAAAAATAAATATATTAACACAAATGAAATGCATTAGAATGTATTTGTAAGTATGTAAGTTGACCCACCAGTAAGTTACCAGTTATCGCTGCCGGGCAGATCGATAACAATTATCTGTGTATGATTGGCCCATAAAGAATAGATCAACCGTCCTGAAAATTATATCTAATATCTGACATCATTTGCGTCTGCCTCCAAAGAGCTCAAAATAACATTATCATTTTCATCAATTATCTGCTGCACCCTGATTTTGCATCATTGGTTCTCAAAGAAGCTAACTTCAGTTCACTACAGATATCTTACTGGGAGCTCGTCCTTTTTACAAATGTAACAAACCACTCGGATTGAAGTCTAACCGAAGAGTGAGACATAGTCAATCACTCACCCATTGACTTACAAATAAATGGACGACGGGTCTAATACAAAAACCACTAAAAAAAATGTCCCAAGTCAACCTATTTAAACGTAGTGACATGTAAAGGAATATGAAAAAGCTTTTAAATTGTAATATCATCGCAGTACTGTCTAATTTTGCTTGCTTCGCTGTCAGTCAAACAAACGAAGACTAAAGCGTGAATGACGCTCTGTATACGATTTTAACGCCCTATAAGTTCGGACACTTTTTAGCGCGGACCCAACGTCCATATAATTGTAAGTCAATGTTAATGTCAATCGGATTTCATACGTTCGGAATGAGTACTTATAAAGGGCAACAAAAATTGTCTGAATACTGTTGCCGCCAAATGCAATTAGGAGAGATCAGGCATTGGCCCTAATCTTGTAGAATGCCCCATATCTTCCAAGTAAACTGATCATAGACTGGTCGACTGATTTCAGATTTTACAGGTAGAAAAAACATTACGTAGCATTGAAATTTGCGTTGAAAAAGGTGTGTGAGTTTATAATACAATGAGAACAGAAATATCTAACCTGCCCCTCTACCAATTTGAAACTCAGTCTAACATTCAATAAGATAGATAGATAGATAGATAAACACTTTATTGCTCACACACAAGAACAAGAATAGTACATAAACAACTTAAAACTAATGTGGGCAAAGGCGGTCTTATCGCTAAGAGCGATCTCTTCCAGACAACCTTAGGGTTAGAGGAATGCTAATCGGAGCGGGAGACGTAGTGTGCCAATTTTACAAATATAAAAATAAAAATATAAAAAAATAAAATAAAATTGTATAAATAAAAAGAAATAAAAAAAATACAAAATAATAAAATTAAATAAAGACACATAGTAATTTATAAAATATTTAAAAAATAATGATATATTATACCTACGTAGATATATGTATATATAAATATACCTAAATAATTACTAATAACTTATACTTACTAATACATACGTTGCAGACTAGGACCGTGATAAAAGATGTTTACGCAATCCGGTTTTGAAAATAGATAGCGACTTAGAATGTCGGATTTCAAATGGGAGATCGTTCCACAAATTTGCAGCCTGAATAGTAAAAGAATTTTTGTAATACTCCGAGCGAGTGAAAGGAGGCTTCAGTAGGTTATCCATTTTAGACCTTAGTTCACGGTTGTGATCATCCCCGAGGAAGTGAAAACGAACCTTAAGGTATGGAGGAGTACGAGGGTCGTATAGAACATTGTAAAGTAAGCTGAGAACGTGCTCCTCACGGCGCAACTTGATAGGGAGCCACTGAAGCCTTCTCCTAAATTCGGCCACATGATCGAACTTGCGCAATCCGTATATGAATCTGATGCAAAGATTCTGTAGACGCTGGAGCTTGCTTAACAGATCCTCGTTAAGGTCAATGAAACAGACATCAGCGTAATCAAGAATAGGTAAGAGCAACGATTGCGCAAGTTCAACCTTAGTCCTCACAGGAAGCAGATTTTTCCAACGCCGCAATGACCCAGAGGCAGCAAACACCCTCCTACTCACCTCAGCGATATGTGGCGACCAAGACAGAGTGGAGTCAAAAAGAACGCCAAGATTTTTAACAACATTACTGTAAGGCAGAGGGAAGGAGTTGAAAAAAAGCGGGGGAATAGTGACATTATTTAATTTGGCGATTTGCTTCGAGCCTCCAACGACGATGGCCTGCGACTTGTTAGGATTGACCGTAAGGCCATGGGTTCGACTCCAATCGTGTATAGTCGCGAGATCGTCATTAAGTTCGGCGATTAAATTGTCCACGTCGTACACAGGAGACTGAGAATAAATCTGAAGGTCGTCGGCGTACAAGTGATACTGGCAAGAAAGTAAGGGAGTAAGGGAGTTTATAAAGATGGAAAAAAGAAGAGGAGAGAGAACCCCGCCCTGAGGCACGCCTGCAGTAACGTCACAGAAGCTAGAATGCTTATTGTCAACACGAACACATTGCCGACGCCCAACGAGATAGTGGCGAAACCACTCCACTACCAAATCTGACACAAGGACCGATTTCAGCATTGCTAATAGAATATCAAAGTCAGCAGTATTGAACGCGTTGCTAAAATCTAAAAGAACTAGTACTGTCAGATGTTGATTCGACATACCCTCGCGAATGTCATCAGATACCTTGGTTAAGGCAGTAACAGTGCTATGCCCTGAACGGAAGCCAGATTGGAAAGGACTAAGGATATTGCACGAGTTCACGAATATTGTAATCTGGCAATGGACAAGACGCTCAAGAACTTTGGAAAGGAACGGAAGAATAGAAATAGGACGAAAATGAGAAGGTAAAGATGGATTGGAGGTTTTAGGTATAGGTACTACAGCAGCTTGACGCCAGCAGCTCGGGAAGGTGCCAGTGTCGAGAGAAAAGTTGAAAATATGGCAAATTATAGGAACAAGAATAGAAGAACCGTGTAAGATCATCTTACGGTTTATTCCATCCAGCCCTTCAGCATTGGATTTAACGGCCAAGATATTTTTCTCAACTTCGCCCTCGGTCACGGACCTAAAAGAGAAAGCCCGATGTTGTGAGTCGTAAGCGGTAGAGAGCGACTGTAGCGTAGATTGCTTAATACTAGTAGAAAGAAAGGAAGGCGTTGTGAAATGAGAGTTCAAGGAGTTAGGATCAAGGTTAAAAGGAGTAGGAGATTTAGACTTGCCAATACCAAGGGTATTAAGAAACGACCATACCTTAGCAGGATCACCATTAGAAACTGAGGCATGTATGTGACGGCGCTGCGCATCCCTGCATACCCTGCTGCAACGGTTCCGAAGGTCCTTAAATTTACGGTGGGTCACGTCAGTGGGATCATTTCTATAACGAACCTTAGCAAGATTGCGCCTAGTCATTAGAGCTTTAATGTCTGCTGTGAGCCAAGGAGCCGGAAGATGCTTCAGCCGGACAGGACGGAGTG